GGGGAGGGGGCGCTGGGGGGGCCGGGGAGATTCGGGGTCCCCCTGAGCCCCCCGTGCCCCCCAGGCATCGCCTCCTTCCAGTGCCTGCTGGGGCTGGGCGTGTGGAACCCCCGCGGGCCCGACCTGAGCAACTGCACCAGCCCCTGGGTCAACCAGGTGGCCCAGAAGGTACCCGGGGGCACCCCGAAACCGGGCCGGGGGGGACCCCAGAGAGCAAACCCCGGAACGGGGCACCCGAAACAGAAATATCCCAAAATTGGGACACCCGAAACAGAAATCCACCAGAAATGGGGCACCCAAAACAGAAATCCCCCAAAATTGGGACACCCGAAACAGAAATTCACCAGAAATGGGGCACCCAGAAATGGGGACACCCGAAACAGAAATCCACCAGAAATGGGGACACCCGAAACAGAAATCCACCAAAATTGGGACACCCTGAACAGAAATCCACCAAAATTGGGACACCCTAAACAGAAATCCCCTAAAATTGGGGAACCCCCAGAAATGGGGACACCCAAAACAGAAATCCACCAGAAATGGGGCACCCTGAACAGAAATCCCCCAAAATTGGGACCCCCAGAAATGGGGACACCCCTAAACAGAAATCCCCCAAAATTGGGACCCCCAGAAATGGGGCACCCAAAACAGAAATCCACCAGAAATGGGGACACCCGAAACAGAAATCCCCCAAAATTGGGACACCCCGAAACAGAAATCCCCCAAAATTGGGACCCCCAGAAATGGGGGCACCCGAAACAGAAATCCACCAAAATTGGGGCACCCCAAAACAGAAATCCCCCAAAATTGGGGCACCCCAAAACAGAAATCCCCCAAAATTGGAACCCCCAGAAATAGGGACACCTGAAACAGAAATCCCCCAAAATTGGGACACCCAGAAATGGGGACACCCGAAACAGAAATCCCCCAAAATTGGGGCAGCCTGAAAGAGAAATCCCCCAAAATTGGGACACCTGAAACAGAAATCCCCCAAAGTTGGGACACCCAGAAATGGGGACACCCCTAAACAGAAATCCCCCAAACCCACCCTGGGGATCTCGGGGCCCCCCCAGACCCCCTGTGACCCCTTGATGGATTTTGGGGAGCCCCCAGACCACCTGTGACCCCCTGGGGGATCTCGGGGACCCCCTGTGACCCCCTGTGACCCCCCAGGGATTTCGGTGACCCCCAGACCCCCTGGGGGACATCGGGGAGCCCCCAGACCCTCTGTGACCCCTTGATGGATTTTGGGGAGCCCCCAGACCCCCTGGGGGATCTCAGGACCCCAGACCCTCTGTGACCCCTTGATGGATTTTGGGGAGCCCCCAGACCCCCTGTGACCCCTTGATGGATTTTGGGGAGCCCCCCGACCCCCTGTGACCCCCCGGGGATGTCGGGGACCCCCTGTGACCCCCTGGGGATTTTGGGGACCCCCTGTGACCCCCTGGGCATCTCTGGGACCCTCTGTGACCCCTTGATGGATTTTGGGGAGCCCCCAGACCCACTGTGACCCCCTGGGGGATCTCGGGGAGCCCACCAGACCCTCTGTGACCCCTTGATGGATTTTGGGGAGCCCCCAGACCCCCTGTGACCCCCCGGGGATGTCGGGGCCCCCCCAGATCAAGAGCGGGGAGAACGCGGCGGCCATCGCGGCGGAGCTGGCGCGCCACACGCGGGGCCCGGTGTTCGCCGGCGACGTCAGCTCGGCCGTGCGGCTGCTGGAGCAGCTCCTGGACATCCTGGACGCGCAGCTGCAGGCGCTGCGCCCGCTCGAGAGGGAGTCCGCGGGCAAGAACTACAACAAGGTGCGCCCCCAAACCCCAAAATTGGGGTGCGGGATGGGGGGGGGACGGGAGGGACAGGTGGGACACCAAAACTCCAAATTTGGGGTGCAGGAACCTCAGGTGGGACCACAAAACTCCAAATTTGGGGTGCAGGAACCTCAGGTGTGACCCCAAAATCCCAAATTATGGGTGCAGGAACCTCAGGTGTGACCCCAAAACTCCAAATTTGGGGCGCAGGAACCTTAGGGGGACAGGTGGGACACCAAAACTCCAAATTTGGGGCGCAGGAACCTTAGGGGGACAGGAGGATCAGGTGTGACCCCAAACCCGAAATTTGGGGTGCAGGATGTGGGGGGGACAGGAGGAACAGGTGGGACCCCAAAACTCCAAATTTGGGGTGCAGGATGTGGGGGAGACGGGAGGGACAGGTAGGACACCAAAATCCCAAATTTGGGGTGCAGGAACCTCAGGTGGGACCCCAAAACTCCAAATTTGGGGTGCAGGAACCTCAGGTGGGACCCCAAACCCCAAAATTGGGGTGCGGGATGTTGGGGGGACGGGAGGGACAGGTGGGACACCAAAACTCCAAATTTGGGGTGCAGGAACCTCAGGTGTGACCCCAAAACTCCAAATTTGGGGTGCAGGAACCTTAGGGGGACAGGAGGAACAGGTGGGACCCCAAAACTCCAAATTTGGGGTGCAGGGTGTGGGGGGGACAGGAGGAACAGGTGTGACCCCAAAATCCCAAATTTGGGGTGCAGGAACCTCAGGTGTGACCCCAAAATTCCAAATTTGGGGCGCAGGAACCTCAGGTGGGACCCCAAAACTCCAAATTTGGGGCACAGGAACCTTAGGGGGACAGGAGGAACAGGTGGGACCCCAAAACTCCAAATTTGGGGCGCAGGATGTTGGGGGGACAGGAGGGACAGGTGTGACCCCAAAACCCCATATATAATCCATGAAATAGTTTTATTATTATTATTATTATTATTATTATTATTATTATTATTATTATTATTATTGTGTTGCTGTTGTTATTATTATTATTATCATCATTATTATCTTTATCTTTATCATTATCATTATCATTATCATTATCATTATCATATTATTATTATATAATTAAGATTTCTAGTACAGAAATTTTTATTATACAAATAGTACTACTATTAATATAGTAATATACTTGAACTAATATATTAATATACTAATATACTAGTTACTAATATACTAACATACTAATCTATATTAATGTGCTAATACTACTAATAATTTACTACTATTAATAATTATTAGCATTGATTTCTTTGTTGTGAAGTAGGATGAGAAATACGGTAAAGTATATTTAAAACTTTAAAAAGGTATAAGGAAAATTTTATTAAGAGTAATTAAAGAGCAATAAGAATTAGAATCAAAATTTTCAAATATTCTTGATTTTTTTTTTTACTGAAAATGTAAAAAACAGAATTTAAATTTTTAGTCAGTTTATAATTTTTAGAGTAGTTTTTTTTAATTTTTAGTTTATTTAGGGAGAGTTGGGATTTTGGGGTTGTTCTGCCCCAGATTTTGGGGTTGTTCTACCCCAAATTTTGGGCTGTTCTTCCCCAGATTTTGGGTTGTTCTGCCCCAGGTTTTGGGGTTGTTCTGCCCCAGATTTTGGGTCGATTTCCCAGATTTTGGGGTTGTTCTTCCCCAGATTTTGGGTTTGTTCTGTCCCAGATTTTGGGTCGATTTCCCAGATTTTTGTTTTGTTCTTCCCCAGATTTTCGGTTGTTCTTCCCCAGATTTTGGGTCGATTTCCCAGATTTTGGGGCTGTTCTTCCCCAGATTTTGGGTCGATTTCCCAGATTTTGGGGCTGTTCTTCCCCAGATTTTGGGTTTGTTCTGTCCCAGATTTTGGGGTTGTTCTTCCCCAGATTTTGGGTCGATTTCCCAGATTTTCGGTTGTTCTTCCCCAGATTTTGTGTTGTTCTGCCCCAGTTTTTGGGTTTGTTCTGTCCCAGACTTTGGGGCGATTCCCCGGATTTTGGGGGGACCCCGTGGTGGGTTTTGGGGTCCCACCCCTCACCTGCCCTCTCTCTTTCATCACCCCCAGATGCACAAGCGGGAGCGAACCTGCAAGGATTACATCAAGGTGAGGGGCGGGGCCAGCGGGGCGTGGCCGCGACAGTGGGAGGGGCTTGAGTGGGTGTGGCCAGGGTGGGGCTAGAGTGGGTGGGCGTGTCCCATGGGTGTGATTTGGGTGGGTGGGCGTGTCCCATTGGTGTGATTTGGGTGGGTGGGCGTGTCCCATGGGTGTGATTTGGGTGGGTGGGCGTGTCCCATGGGTGTGATTTGGGTGGGTGGGCGTGTCCCATGGGTGTGGCCAGGGTGGGCGTGTCCCATGGGTGAGATTTGGGTGGGCGTGTCCCACAGGTGTGGTCTGGGTGGGCGTGTCCCATGGGTGTGATTTGGGTGGGCGTGTCCCATGGGTGTGGATTGGGTGGGCGTGTCCCATGGGTGTGTTCCAGGTGGGCGTGTCCCATTGGCGTGTCCCATGGGTGGGTGTGTCCCATGGGTGGGCGTGTCCCATGGGTGTGATTTGGGTGGGTGGGCGTGTCCCATGGGCGTGGTCTGGGTGGGTGGGCGTGTCCCACGGGTGTGATTTGGGCTGGTGTGTCCAATGGGTGAGATTTGGGTGGGTGGGCGTGTCCCATGGGTGTGGTCATGGTGGGCGTGTCCCATGGGTGTGATTTGTGTGGGTGGGCGTGTCCCATGGGTGTGATTTGGGTGGGCGTGTCCCATGGGTGTGATTTGGGTGGGCGTGTCCCAT